AAAGAGTAGAAGAAAGACATAGATTTTTAATAGGCAGGAGTTTAGCGAGAATTTAGGAAGGTTTTTGAACCGAAGAGAGAAAATAATTGTTGTGGGTGACCAAACAAGCACAGGTGAGAAACTCTTGCAGAAAGCTGTGTAGGTAAGTGTTGAGTAACCAGGAGTAAATGCTAATGAGGAATGTCTATTTAATATATGCATGGAAAGAGTTTGGTAACAAAAATACATATTATATATATATATATATATATAATATATATATATATATATATATATATATATATATAATATATATAATATATATATATTATATAAATATATATATATATATATATATTTAAATAAATGGATGGGTAGATATGGGTTAGTAGATAAAATGATGAGTGTAGACTTAGGGATATATATTTTTAGAAAACCGACAGACTGATCACACTTATCTTTAAGTGTAAAGTAAAATAAAGAGGATTACAAGGAGAATGTTATCAGTGTAAGAGAGAAGGTAAGTTTAATAAATTAAATAATCAGATAAGACATTAGCAACTGTTACGAAATAGCAGAGAAAAGAAGGTACAAGGGGATGATGAGGTGGTCGTGGTAGGTATAGTGGTAGAAATATGAATAAAGCATGTAGTGCAGTAATATAAGGGTAGTTGGAGGGTGGTGGCAGGAGGAAGAGGAGCAAATTGTGAATAACAGGTTAGACAGTAAGAGAAAAGTTAGTGAGATGAAAAGGTTCTCTTCTTCTGCAGTATAGATGTTATAAAAAGAATAGGAGTATATGAAGTAAAAAATTGATAAAAGAGTGATGAAAAGGTCACTTTTTAAACAAACTTTGGTAAAAATAAGAAACAGATGTAGGAGGACATCTCTAAGTATAAGATGCCTTGGGAACAATTGTATTTAAAAAAAACTGATAACAAAAAGAAAATGAACCATTAAATGTAGAACTGGAAGGTACTAAGAAGATGGAAGAAATGCTTTAAGATGTTATTAAATTGTTGATAAAGTGAAGAACGATGAGTGAGGAAGAGCCAGATGTGAGGTGTATAGGAGGTGCACATGACATGGGTATGCAGATAAAAGGGAATTAAGCAGCAGTTGATAGATGGGATAAGACAGTTATGAACAGTGGGTTAGAGTTTTGGAGTCAGTTGGTGTGTTCAACATGTGCAGAAAGAGAGGAAGGTACTTAAGAAATAGCAGAGAGAATGTCGTAGTTCCTCTGTTTAGGAAAAGGATTAAAGAAACTGTAAGAAATTATAGGGGAATAAGTCTTCTGGAAAAGTTATTGAAAGGTTATTACTGAATTATGGTTAAAAACAGAAATACTAAATTACTTACACTGAAGCACAAGAGGGAATAATACTTTGATAAGGGTACGAAATTTTTCATTGTAGTTATTGGTTTAGAAAATGCATATGAGAGGGTTTATAATGAAACAATGTGGCAAGTGTTGCACCAGTATGGAAAGCTTGTAAGTTATATAAAGCAGTAAAAAGCTTATATGTGAATAATAAGGCTCAGATTAGGTTACAAATGGTGGAAAGAGTGAGATTTATTTTCCAGTAAAAGCAGATCTTATGCAGGTATGTGTGACGTCACCATGGTTGGTGATGTAAAATAAGTGAATGTTAGGGTGTTGTGGAGAGGTATAGCATTGAAAAATAGTGAATCTGTTATGGAGTGAGAGCTGTCACAGTTGAATTTTTTGCCGATAAACTTGTTTCCTTTGAGGGGATTCTGAAGAGAAATTAGCGAAGGAGAGTAAACGATTTGAGAAACGTAATGTAAAGAAGAAAATTAATATAAGCCAGATTATATATAAGCAGAGATTTGATATTTGATTGGTGGGAGGAAGTATGAAGTATGGAGTCAGTGGATGGTTCTATGAGAATTGAGGTGAGCCATAGAATTAACGAAGGGAAGGTGGATGGTGCATTGATGTATCTGTGGAGACAAGGAACTTTATCCAGGTAAGCAACAAAGGGAATGTACCAGAATATAGTGTTACCAACACTGTTTTAAGGATGTGATGGCATAGGTTTCGAATATTGCAGTGAGGAGAAGATTGGAGACAGTAGAGATCTCTCTTTGAAGGCAACATTTATTGTGAGTATTATGCAAATAATTCAGATGTTGCAGATTAAAAAGGGATGCATGGAGTCACAAAAATTATTATTCCGAGGACTGAGGAAAAGTTGTTGAGGTATTTTGGACATATAGAAAAGTAAAGCTGGATGGGTTAGTTAGCAATATGAATTAGGAGTGGAGGAAAGGAGAAACAGAAATACATGAAGGAAGGGACTATAGTAGGTTATGAATGGACATTCAGCCAGACCATTAAAGGATCGAGAGTGTACATAGGGAATGAATGGAAAGTTTTTTTTTTGATTTCAGTGCTGTTTGGAGTGTGAGCAATGTAACATTTATGAGGGAATACTAAGGACACTGGATATCCAGGACTTGAAGCCCTTGTTATTGTTCCCATTCGAAGGATCATCTGAACGATAATGTCAACCCACATCGACCAAGACAGTGATAGAGTGACAGTAAAAAAGAAAGAGTCTACTTTGGTCCCATACCTCTGAGGGAGAAGACCAAAATTCATAGTAAAATATATAACACAAACACTTGTCTTCCAATTTGATGGTCACTGATTATCAAGATAGAGTTTCCTATTTATGATGAGAAATGTGATCGTCTCATTACATTTTATTGTTCTGTAAATTAATTATATTTGAATTAATTATTTTGAATAAAATTATGCACTGAATTACTTTAAAACATTGAATTGTTTAAATAAAACTTAAATTGTTTTGGGAGATACTGTGGTTAACATAATTTAAAGTTTGTTATATCCCCACCTGCTTTTAACATTTCTATCTTTTCCTGTCAACCAGCTGCCATTATCCCCTTTCCATGTCTACCCACTGGGGGAAGTTCGTGAAGCAGTGGGTAAATGGAAGGGGGTAAGGCAGCTAGGGATTGACCGGAAAAAGATAGAAAGATGGTAATATAGTTTTGGAGTGGTTGGATGCAATTATTTAATAAATTATGGAAGAGGGTAAGGTACCTAGGTATAGGTAAGAACATGTATATTCCTTTATATAAAGGCAAAGGGGACAAAAGAAGTGTAAAAATTATAGGGGAATAAGTCTGTTTGAGGATATAGTGGTAAAAGGTGAATGGTAGAGTTTTATTGAAAAGGATTGAAGAGTAAGACGGAGAATAGGATAGCAGATAAACAAGGAGGTTTTAGGGAAAGGTCGGGGGTGTAGACCAAGTGTTTTACAGTACCCCATACATGTGAGCATTATATTAGATATGGCAAAGAGGTTTTTTGTGGCATTTATGGATTTGAAAATGGCAATATGAGACAGGTGGATAGGGGACAAAATGCAGATGTTGCAGGTTATGGTACAGAGGTAGTTACCGAAAGCAGTGAAGAGTTTTTACGAGGATATTGAGGTTCCGGTTAGAGTAAGTAGGAAAGATGGGGAGATTATTTCAGTAAAAGTAGCCTTAGACAATGATGGTGTGTGTCACAGTGGTTGATTAATATATTTATACATGGGGTAAAGAGAGGTGAATGCGAGGGTCTTGGCAAGAGGTGTGGAGTTAAAAGATATAGAATAAAGCACAACGTGGGGAGTTGTCACAGTGCTCTTTGCTGATGACCACAGTGCTTTAGGAGATTCTGAAGAGAGTTGAGAGGTCGGTGATGAATTTGGTAGGGTATGTAAAAGAAGAAAATTAAAAGTGAATATAGGAAAGAGTAAGGTTATGAGGATAACAGAAAGATTAGGCGCCGAAAGATTGGATATCAGATTGATCTGAGGGAGAGAGTATGGAGATGTGAATGTGTTCTAGAATATTAAGGAGTGGACGTGTCAGAGATGGGTCTATGAAGATGAGGTGAAATCCTAGAAATGAAGTAGGGGAAAAGGATGAGTGGTACACTTAGGAGTCTATGGAGACAAAGACACTTTGTCCATGGAAGCAAAGACGTGAAATGTATGTGGTATGTAATTGTGCCAGCACTCTTAAATGGGTGTGAAGTAAATGGGTGATTAAATGTTGCAGCGAGGAGAAAGGCTGGAGGAAGTGGAGATGTCAGTCTGAGGGGCAATGTGTGGTGCAAATATAATGCAGAGAATCGTGGTTTGGAAGCTAGGAGGGGTGCGGATTACCAAAACTATTGTCCAGAGGGCTGAGGAAGGGTTGTTGATGTGGTTCGGACATGTAGAGAGAATTGAAACAAAACAGCATGACTTCGAGAGTGTATAAATGTGTAGTGGAGGTAAGGCGGGGTAGGGGTCGGCCTAGGAAGGTTTGGAGGATGGGGGTAAAGAGGTTTTGTGTGCGAGGGGTTTTGGAACTTCCCGCAAGAGCATGAGTGAGCAACATTTGATAGGATGAATGAGACAAATGGTTTTTAATACTTGACGTGCTGTTGGAGTGTGAGCAAAGTAACATTCATGAAAGGATTCAGGGAGACTGGCAGGCCGGACTTGAGTCCTGGAGATGGGAAGTGTCTGCACTCTGAAGGTAGGGGTTTTAAAATTGCAGTTTTAATAACTGTAGTATAAAGCATACCTCTGACAAGACAGTGATGGAGTGAAGATGGTAAAGTTTTTCTTTTCGGGCCACCGAAGACATATTCGAAATCACAGACCACAAACGACTCCAAAAAATCCGTCAAGAAATTGAATGGTTGATTGTTTTTCAAAATTATTCACCATATCCTATCAGATTATTATTGTTCATTGGTCATTATGTGTTTAGTAATTATTAAATAACAACTAGACCCCCACATCACCAAGATTTCTGATGTGTGTCCAACAAATATCAGATAACTCATACATATCAGATTCTCCATTATGCTAATTTCTCTGTTTCATATGTCGACTTATTACACCTGAATACCATATAAATCTTTAACACATTAAAAATATGGTTGGAAATTTACATTAAGAAAAATATATTATTAGTGAGAATACCTTCAGCACTCTGGCTGCCATAGTGAAATGCAGTATTATGATCATTGTCTTCTGCATTGTGATCACAACGTTCATCATGTAATAACAGTTCCATAATTCCAGTGTGGTTAATCAAGGCAGCATAATGTAATGGTGTCTGACCTTGATCATTCCTAGAGTTAAGGTCAACACCAGCTTTATTAAGAAGCATCTTCACACAATCCTCAGCTGTAATGTTATGATAATTATAATTATTATTATAATAACAATAATCTCCTTCTTTTCTTTTCTACTTCTTATTCTATTTATTATTATTATTAGTATAAGTATAAGTAGTATATTAGTAGTAGTGTAGTTAGTATAGTATAGTAGTAGTAGTAGTAGTAGTAGTTAGTAGTAGTAGTAGTATTTAAAGTATATTGTTATATGGTTATATGGTTTTATTATTTATTTTAATTAGTATTATCATTATTCTTTGTAAAAAATTTATAATTTAGAGTAATACCTAATAATACGATAATAAATATTGATAACAGAAAAATAATAACAAAAAAATAAAAATAATCATAAAAATAATAATTTTATAATAATGATAATAATAATATTAATAATAATAATATAATAATAAAATTAATAATAATATAATAATAGAATAATAATTAATAATAATAATAATAATATGTTATAATACATATTTAATTAGTTTTAAATATTATTATTAGTTTATTATTTTTAACTGGGAACTGTTTTGGGAGTAAAATAAATTTACAACAAGAATTAGGAAACCAAACAAGACCTCAATTTCATCGCTTTGAAAACTACAGACCACAACGACTACTGCGACTTCCAAACAGGTTATCTTCAAGACAATCATCTCAGCAGTCATCTCAACACGTCAGCTTCCCACCAGTGCATCATCTCAGCGGTCCCCATCTCCAACACGCAGCTGCTCCCCAGTGGCATCAATCTCAGCGTCATCTCAACACGCACTCCACAGTGCATCAATCTCAGCGGTCATCTCAACAACGCAGCTCCACAGTTATACCTCGACGTTACATCATTGCACTTAAGCTTTATTTAGAAGACACGACCATCAGGGTTCACCACGCTGATAAAAAAAAGGAGTTGGTGTCGTAAATTTGACACGTGACGATTAACAGAACAAAATGCTCAGTGACCCAGATACCTACAAACTTCTCACAACAAACAAGTGGACAACCTTACCAAAACATTTTTCAGCAGAACTCCCGCAACCGAGGGACTCATAACATGGAAGAAACTATCTACAATCACTATTCCCAGCAATCCCAGACCTGCCAGAATGTACGGTCTGGCCAAAAACTTATAAGCCAGTTTACTGAGGTCCCTATCCTTGGATAAGTCAGTGCCCCCACAAACCTCAGGAATTCTTGCTAAATACCTCTCTAAACTCTTGGCAATAATCAGTCCAGCACATCTCAGACACTCGGTGATCTTCTCAATCACGATTCGCAACATCAAATCAGGAACAAGAACTTTCCAGCCTGATGTAACCATCCCTATTCACCAAAGTACCTACTACACAAGCCATCGATCTCTGTGCGAGCAGGGAAAAATTTATTACTCACTCGACCTTCCTCTTCCATCCAGCGTTATCATCGACCTTGTTCTGTGTGCAGGCTTTACATGTTTCTCTTTCGAAAATCACTTCTTTCAGCAGGTCTTCACTCCTACGTCTGCCAACATCGTTGCCTCCAGCACTGAGACAGATAATAGGATTGCTCCCATTACCTCTCATGATGTCATCCAGACGGCTAACAATATCCTCCATCCCAGCCCCAGGAAAGCAAACTCTCTGTCTCCTACTCCTGTCCTTCAAGCAGAACGCCCTATCCATATACCTAACTTGGCTATCCCTAACAACAAAAATATTCGTACCTTCCTTGGTGTCGTTCGTCGTGACGTTCCCAGTAGTCGACTCACATTCGTCGGGTAGCACTGAGAATGTATTGGATGTCTTCCACAACAGTTTCCACGGCAGTCTCTTTCTTCTTCATCGTTTCTACCTTTCCATTCGTCTTCTTGATCGTCAACTTCTTTCCCTGCTGTCCAGCCACTGACCAGTTTCCCTTCTTGACCTGAGGACTCAAAACAGGAGGACTACTACGAATCTTTTTGTTTTCCTCGGTCAGTCGCCGAATTTCCATATTCGCCAACCTCAATTCTTCCTTAAGCTGTTGGTAAAGTTGCTCGATGGAGGGCATCTTGCTTCAATTCTAGAGAGCGCGCAAACAGGTCTTCACAGAGCCAAGTACACGTCAACACTGCGCAAAAGCCAACTCAATCAGGAGCTACTGCGCAGCACGTCCGCACGGCCCAATAGCGATGCGAACACTCTATTACCAAACCAGTGCTTTCCTATATCCTTCTTGAATCTGAATTTTTCCAACTTGAAACCATTGCTGCGAGTCCTGTCTTGGCTGGAAATTTTCAGCACGCTATTTACATCCCCTTTATTTATTCCTGTTTTCCATTTATACACCTCGATCATATCCCCCCTAATTCTACACCTTTCGAGAGAGTGCAGATTTAGGGCCCTCAGTCTATCCTCATTGGGAAGATTTCTGATACATGGGATCATCTTTGTCATCCTCCTCTGTATGTTTTCCAGAGCATTTATATCCATTCTGTAATACTGTGACCAGAACTGAGCAGCATAGTCTAAATGAGGCCTAACCAAGGATATAAAGAGTTGAAGAACAACCTGAGGACTTCTATTATTTATACTTCTAGATATGAAGCCAAGAATTCTGTTAGCTTTATTGCGAACACTAATGCACTGTTGTCTTTGTTTGAGATTACTGCTAACCAGAACTATTAAATCCTTTTCGCAATCAGTAGTATTAAGATCTACATTATTTAGTTTATATATGGCATGGTTATTTAACTGTCCAACATTTAGAACTTTGCATTTGTCAATATTAAACTGCATCTGCCACTTCTCCGACCATTGCATCAGTCTATTCAAATCATCCTGGAGTGCTCTAGTGTCCTCATTAGAATGAATTGGACGGCCTATTTTGGTGTCATCAGCAAATTTGCTTATGTCGCTATTTATTCCCTCATCTATGTCGTTTATGTAAATTGTGAACAACAACTGGCCCAACACTCACCCCTGAGGAACACCGCTTGTGACGTGCCCCCATTCTGATTTCTCGCCATTTATGCAAACTCTCTGCTGCCTATTTGTCAGCCATGCCTCTACCCAGGAAAAAATTTCTCCTCCTATTCCGTGTGCCTTAATTAAGTTTCCTCAATAGCCTCTGGTGTGGAACTCTATCGAAAGATAGAGTCTGAATGTGCCCTCAGTGTGCGCACTATTAAAAAAATCTGGGAGCACTTAGTACCTTGTGGGAGCACCAGCTATAGCAAATAGCATGGCAAATACCAGGGATTCACTGATGCCATGTTGCATTAACACTTCCATTTTAAGAGGAAAGTAAAAATAGGTTAGATAAATACTTGAGTGAGTGTTGGTGGGTGTGAGTTGGACCTTACTAGCTTGTGCTAGTCAAAGGATGTGACCTGACTAGGTGGGTCATTTGTCTAAGTCGGAGAGGAGTGTGACATGTACCTTGCCATGCATGGGCCAGTAGGCCTGCTGCAGTGTTCCCTCTTTATGTTCTTATGCATTCGGCAGGCTGGCCGGCTGGCTTGCTTTGGCTGTCTCTGGCTGTCTCTCTGTCTATATCTTTATCTGTCTATATCTCTATCTGTCTATATCTCTATCTGTCTATATCTCTATCTGTATCTCTGTCTATCTATATCTCTGCCTATCTATATCTGTCTCACATATACACATAAGTACAGTTATTATGCTTAGTGTAAATTACCTAGGATAATCAAAAATTCCAGGCAAAGATAGACAGATAGATAGACAGACAGATAGATAGATAGACAGAAACATGTTTGTGTGTATCAGTGAAAACATAGCCAGGGCTCCCCCGAGCACCCATTTATCAAATGTCACCAAGCTGATAACAGATGTCATAACACGATTCTTCAAGGAGATTGATATCCTATACTCCAGGCAGACAGAAAGACAGATAAGCAGAGACAGACAGGCAGACAGATAGACAAAGACAGATAGATAGACAGGCAGACAGACAGACAGACAGACAGACAGACAGACAGACAGACAGACAGACAGACAACAGACAGACAGACAGACAGAGAGACAGGCAGGTAGACAGATAGACAGATATACAGACAGAAAGATAGACTGATAGACAGAAAGACAGATAGACAGACAGGCAGATAGACAGACAGACAGATAGACAGATATATGAACAGACAGAGAGACAAGACATGTTTGTGTGTAACAGTGATAACAAATACAGTGAGGGTTAGCTGGAGCAGTGTGTATTTATCAAATGTCACTGAGCTGTCAACAGTATAGGGATGCCTTTCATAACAACATTCTTCAAGGTATATGCCAGGGTATCTAAAACATTGCTGGCACCTATAAATACTTTGTATATATTTCTAGACAATAGTAAATAACCCAGGTAGGTGTAAATGTTCACCTGTCAATGTGATTGTGACTATTTCAGTACCTAATATTAGTGTCAGAACAAACATTGGCTATGAAATTACAAGAAGTATTATAAATTGTAATTATCAGAACATAAAAAATATATAAATTAAAATAAAAACGAGGAAAAAAGGTATATTGGCAACACTTGTGCAAGTGGCAGGAGTCAATGTTGCCGACAGTTGAGCATCCAGTGCCAACTTCACCGTCTTATATCTCGGTAAATACTGACCCAAATTTTTTTTTAATTCTATAACATGTAGAAAAATGTGCTCTTCATTTTAAAAGAAAAAAAAAACGATTCTTTTATTTTTCAAAATATTCGGAGCGCCACGTGAGTGAACGTAGATCTACGTTTGGACAATTTAAGGGTTAGTGACCAAAGTTAGTAAATTCGTAAGACAGGAACACCCCTTTGTAAAACCGTGTTGAGATTCATTAATCAATCTGTACCTATCAAGATGGCTACGAATTGCTTCGGCAATTATTGATTCCATAAATTTTCCCACTATGGAGATAAGGTTTATTGGTCTATAGTTCGAAGCCAAGGACCTGTCACTTGCCTTGTAAATAGGTATTACATATGCCATTTTCCAATTATCAGGCACTATGCCAGTTTGTAGTCATATGTTAAAAAGATTAGCCAAAGGTATGC